GCTGGAGATGGAAACGAGATAGGTAACACAGATATCACTGCATTGTTGTTGTTAGATATCATATTTCATGAAGGTCACATCTTGTCGAACCATAAAAACAATGCGCTGATATTTCGGGAATAATATACTGTACCTTGCACAGCTGACTGCTGAATGTTTCATATCCAATCTGGAAAAAGCAACATCTGAACTTACTTTTTGAAACACAGAGTGATTTAAAATCTTCGGTTTTGATTGTTTTCTTGTTATGATGTCATAAAAAACATTTTCCAGATGATATTTTTGTTGGGAAATTTAATAATTTTTTTATAACGAATTTCGAACTGTGGCGATCAATTCTGAAACCCTACTCTTCTACGATTTTAGTTCCGTTTGAATTCATTGTTGAATATTTTGAAAGGAAATATGGTATTTTCAATTTATAATGAAGAATTTTTCATATTTTAGAGTGATTTGATTATAGGTATACAGGAGGTTACGTATAAGTATGGTAATTTTTGCTAATTTTTAAATTTAAAAGATATTATTTTTGTTGTTAACACAGACTAGAGTCATTCTTCAGAAGTTTATTTTTTTTATGAGAAATTGGTACCTTGATATATTATATTGAAGCAAGTTGTTGAATTTGAATTGATGAGAGAATGAAATTGAAAATATGATATAGAGAGAAATAATTTAATTGATGATATATTAAAGATGAGTTACGAGATATTGAAGATAAATGGTACATTGAAGATGAATAATGATGAATTGAAGATAAATAATGATATATTGAGGATTATAAAGGATATTGATATGAGATGTATCTTGTTGCGAGTTCACTAATGAGTTTAGTAAAGATTACTGAACAGTTCGGCTAGGGACGTTTGGCAGATGCTTTGTCAAGTACAATAGTGAAAACTCACCCTTCGGCCAAGACATAACACAAGAGTTATGTACTATGTATAAAAAAGAAGATATTATTTTGAGAGTTATAAATGGATTCGAGTTATAAGACGTAATGAAATATATTTTACTATGAGTTTAGTAAGGTCTACTAAACAATTCGGCTAGGGACGTTTGGCAGATGCTTTGTCAAGTACAATAGTGAAAACTCACCCTTCGGCCAAGACATAACACGTGAGTTATGTACTATATGTTATAAAAATGAAGATATTATTTTGAGAGAATTATAGATAGATTTGGATTATGAGATGAATTGAGATATTGTTTACTGAGTTTAGTGATGGTTACTGAACAGTTCGGCTATAGGGAGGTATGGAGGAAACTTGAAATATTAGTGAATACTCACCCTTAAGGCCAAGGCATGACAAAAAGTTGTCATGCAAGGTTGGAAGATGTGTTGCAATCAAGCTATTGCAGACGAATGCAATGAAATCAGTACGTACAAAGAGTGAATGTGGAAGTAATCAAATTGTTGTAAATATCTAGAGGATGTAATTCAATAGTCGTCGATGGTATTAGCCAGGAAAGTAGTTGTTTTCTTATAGATACCTTCACAATTTGATTTGAATGAAAGCAAGGTACTGATTTGGAAATTCGAGTTATATGTACATTATATATATGGATGTGTTAAAAGCAAGATAATAAGTTTGAAATGGAGTTTTCAGTATATTTTTGTTGTTGATAACCTCACTGCATACCTATACCTAACCGGATAATGTTTTTACTGGAGTCTAGATATCCAAGTACGTTCCTCCTATCGTAATAAGACATTGGGATAGAGAATAATATAATGGAAGAAATGTCAAAAGATGAAGAGTTGAAGATAAGTTAGCAGGAGAAACCTTTTCATTAGATTTTGGAGAATTATTAAAATATAAATGAATGAGATAGAAAACATATCATGATAATAGAGAGTAGGGACAGTTCTCAAATAACGAAAGATAACAGGGCAGTAATTCAGGTACTAGGTGGTCATATGAAGAACTATTGGTAAAATATATTTAGGTATGTCACTATGGGTAGGTATTTTGTAAAGAAAAATGTAAATGTAGATTCAATATGGGTATGTAGTATAGTCAAAAATGGGTATTGTTTATATTAAAATGAAAGTACACTTACTGCTGTAAATTTTTCTCTTGTTCCATGTGAGCCACAAACCGCACGTCAGACCGAAGCACGAGCAGCCCTGTCCAATAAACACCATCCATCCAGTAGCACCACCTATCGAGTTGTTCGACACAGGAGGCTGAAAGCTCTGAAGGGCAATGACTGCGACATACTGGGAAACCTACAAATAAAGGACATGAAATGTGAGAATAAGGAAACATAGGCACAGGAGAGAACAATAAATGAATTGAAAACGTGATAAGTATAAACTTACAACAATGTATCAGCAGAAGGCAAGGGGGGGCCAAAAAGTCAACTATGATCTAGCCAGACGTCTGCAGCACAAAGTCAGCCAGAGAAAGTCCTGAATACCCAAACCTAGGAGAAACAAAAGGACACTTTTAAAAAAAAAGCCATCATGGAGGAAGAAATGCGCTTACCAAGCAGAATATCCTGAGATGTAGTAGCAGACCAGTTATAATCACAGGAATGCACTAGTGTTCATCATCACTGTCATATTATGGAATCACTAACCGAAATAAGCAACTAGGTACTCTCAAAATCCACCAGGAATCAAAAATAGATTCTAACAAACCGAAAAACCGTACCGAACACGCAAACTGAATCTGATGTTAGGGCGTTGTTTTGCGGACAGAGATAAAACCGAAAAATGCTGATTCAGAGATGCAAGATTCTGCAAGAAAAAATCTGTCGATGCAGATGTTTTTCTCTCAACGGAAGCAACAGATCTTGAGGTACGAGATAATTTGTGGTTATGTTTGGCTGTGTCACAGAACACGGAACATAAGGAATGACAGATGCGAGGAGCAACCGGGCGAGACCACAAAAAATGGATTTTGTTGTGTCAGTCTGTCAGGTATCTTCTGATCCGGAAGAGGAGAGAAAATATTTTCTTGTTTCCTACCAAGTTCCTATCAAATCGAAACAAAGAACAATAGTGAAAATGTGTCAATTGTTATGTCAATTTTTTCTTCTTTTTTCAACTCGCTGGAACATTTTCATGAATTTCCACATTTCACTTCCGAATTGGCGCCGTAGTCTCCTCACAACAGTATGGAATTGTCTTCAGAAGTAGCAAATAGTAGTACCACAGTACTACTAACCCTGATAGCAGTGATAGCCCATAGCCAACAGCCAACCATCTGCCCACATACAAAAGGAAGAAAAGTATGTCGAAATTGTCAAGTCATAATCCCGAACAGAGCACAGATTCCTCAGAACACTCAATACAAAAGTCGACAAGGCAGCTGGGGAATAAGCAGCGCCAGCGGCAGCAAGAGACGGTCGAGGATTCCGACCGCTCCCCTCCCCGACGCACGGATAGAGCGGACAATGGGTAGGTCCGTTTAACCATTTACCGATGGGATAGCAGCGTTGAAAATTGGACAGTGCCGGACTCAGTGCGGAACTGATAAGTGCTCAGTGTAGAAACTGGTTTTGTGGAACATTAGCATAAACTCATATTTTCTCTGATTATTATTATTTTTTGTTGTTTTTCGTTTCAATAATTATTGTCAACTGATTCAGAATTTTATATATGATTTTTTTTTAAATTTGTTTTTGCGTTAATAAAACTGAACTTCATTCATCTATATTTGAATTTTGGTATGCTTTTTCTGTTTTATATACTTGTATATTTATATATTGGTTTTGTTTTGTTTTTCACACATAAATAGGCAGTCAGGCAATTCATTATTAGAAGCTGGGGCAGCTTCTTCGGAGGGGAGGAGACGTGTCACACCTGGTATACCAAAGGAACCATTCAATCAATTTATTAAGAAATATCCATAAGAAAATCAAAGTCCTCAGTAGATAATATCCAAAGTCATTCACATAACATATGTAATTCAAACCCGGTTCAAATTTCACAGACAGGAACCTAGTAAGCTTTTCCGGCAGAATTCATCGGACTTGAAAGTTCACCTATGAGGTAATGAACTCGATAGGTACGATTATTGCTGATTCTGCTAACTCGGCAAGTATCGCCTATAAAACAATTGAAGTATAGATTTTCCGGAGAATCACAATCAGACAATCGAACAATCAGACTCGGTACGACGTTGATCACGAGTACGGCTTTTTTTTTGGGTAACCACACTAGTGAGTGAGTAGACGTCAACGCCATGACACACATCTCCTCTCCTGCCGGAGCAGCGATTATTGTATGGACAATGTAAGTACATTTTTCAATCAAAAACTGTTTCATTACCTTGTACAGCCCCTGTAATTGTCTCCAATCACGTTGGTAGTTAGATCCAGAGATGTAGGATTTCACTAGAAGGTGTGGCTATAGGGTCACTTTAATTTAGTCACTTCACTTTACTTTTTTGTCTCACTTAACCTTTTTTATGTTGCTCACTTGTTCACTGGTTTTTGATCGTTCAATAAAACTTAAATTTATGTTAAACAAAACATGCACTCTTTCCTTGCCACAATCGAGTTACGAGAGTGTGGTAGTTAGGACACCCTCTTGCTGCCAAGCATAACCCCCTAAGATCACGCAGCCGGGGAGGAAGGCCCCAATGGTCGTGACAATACCTATTGTGTTTAAGAACAAAAGTGTCCACTATGCAAACCAGTGCTGCCGTTGCGGTACTTTTGTACTGCTTTCGGTACTATTTATTGCACTTGTTACCAAAGTACTACTTTTCCAAAATATGCCTCATTCGGTACTTTTTCTATTCATATGCCAAAGCCAAGATGCTAATGATTCGATGAAGAAACTGGTAACTGGTGTTTCATGTTCTGTGTTGTGGTGGTGACAACTAGGGGTTCTCGGGTATCTGCGGATATGAACAAATTAGACAGGTAATCATAAAAATTCATTGGAATTCATCATATCATCATGTCTCCTATATCATCATAATTTTGTAGTTGGTTGAAAAGCGGAGGGGAATCATAAAACCAACATGAGACAGAAATGAATAATGCTGTCCAACGAGATGGAAATAGGAATTGAGAATATGGTTCTGATTCTGATAATAGGGGAAATGAAGAAAATATTGGGAGTAGCCCTCCCAAGAAGTATAAAAAAAGCAGAAATTATAAATTCAATCCACAATGAGGATCAGATGCTGTAAGAAGATGGAATATGCTGTTAACAGTAACTGGACTACCTAATATATTTTTCAGGAGTTGTCCAAATGGCTAACACTTAAATATGATAAACCATACTGCAATGTATGTAAACATATTCTAGTTGGTAGTAAGAGCCATATTAAAAGACATGCTAATACTACAAACCATATTAAAAAGCTATCAATTTTGGAGAAATCAAGAAATATCCAAGGCACCATCGAAAATCTTCCTTCTGTCAAATTGAATGTCGCTATAAATGAAGGTGAACTGAAAATGTGTATGTTTTTGGCAGAACATAACCTGCCATTCCTCTTGATGGAACACTTGCCAGGATTGATTGAATCTGTGTGCCCAGACTCGAGCATAGCAAAAGAGCTAAAGTGTTCAAGAACTAAAGCTACAGAAATCATAAACAACAGAATGAAATCTTACGCAGCTGAGGAAATCTCAAAAGATTTGAGGAACAACTATTTTTCAATAATCATTGATGAAACAACAGATATAAGCACCAAAAAGTGTCTTGTTATTGTTGTGAGATATTATAATGAGGTTCAGCAGAGAGTGAGAGATAACTTCTTGTCTTTGATTGAGCTGGAAGATTGTAGTGCCCAAAATATTTATAAAGATATTAAAAATGTTTTTGCTAGAAACAAGATTCCCATCTATAAAATGATAGGTTTTGCATCTGATAATGCGTCAGTGATGGTAGGAAACATGAATGGTGTGAAAACAAAACTTTTGAATGATGTGCCTGATTTATTTGCACTTGGATATACCTCACACTCTTTACATCTTACTGCATCTAAAGCATGCACAATGCTACCAGATTACATAGAAAAATTTGTCAAAGATGTTTATGGATATTTCTCCCACAGCGCCAAGAGGAAGAAGGAAGTAGAATAGTTTCAAGCATTTACAGATACAGTGCCTCATAAATTGTTGCGACCATGCCAAACTAGATAGCTCTCTTTGCATATGGTTGTTGAGAGGCTTGTAGAGCAGTGGTCTGCTTTGATTCTATATTTTCAAGCTGAAGCACTGGATTCTAATATAGAAGATGCAAAATGCATATTGAAAGGATTGAAAAATCCAATTGTGAGATTGTATATTAAATTTTTGACTCACATATTGAGTGTAATAACAAAAGCAAATACAGAATTCCAAAGTGAGTCCCCAAGAATTCATGTCCTTTTGAAAAACATTAAATTTTATTACAAAACCATATTGAAATGTTTTATCAAGCCAGAAATTTCGGCAAGAAGTAAACATAAATGCCCCACATAATTATATAGATTTAGGCCAGATATATTCAGGCTATGGGGTTGAAAACATGCTCTCAGGACCACCAATAAATATGAATGATTTAAATTCATTCAAAATGAAATGTTTGGAATTTTGTATTTGCTTTTGTAAAGAATTGAAGGAGAGATTTGATTTCAATGACCAATTTCTGGATAATCTACAAATATTAGATCCTACTAAAATATTTAATTCAGGTAAACCCTCAATAAATGCAATATGTAATAGATTTCCAAACATTCCTATTCAAAGAAATGATCTGGCTTTTGCATGGCAATTAATTGATGAATTCAAACCAGAAAATTATATCAAAGATATTCAGGAATTGATACCTCATTTAGAAAAGCAAAGAATCGGGTAAGATCAAGCAGCTTTCACAAATTTAGTTATTTTATTAAAAGTCATTGTAACTCTACCTCACAGCAGTGCTGCCGCAGGAAAAGAATTTTCAAATTTGAATTTGATAAAAACAAAATAAAGGAATTGTTTGTCTGTAAAAACCTGTGAAGGCCTGATGTTGGCCAAAGGTTTATTAGGAAATGGCAACAGTTGTTGCTCTTGGAAACCCAGTCAAGATCTTGTGAAGAAATAAACTCGGTTTTTTGATTTGTATAATATTCCTCATTCGATATTTCGTTGGACAATGTCAAATGAGTTATGTAGGTAGTTAAGTATTGAAGTTGAAATAGCTGTTGATTTTTTATTTCAGTTTTGTATTCATAGGTAATTCGATTTATGAATTTTGTTTTCAAATTTAAAAGTGTGAGCGAATAAAATGTCAGCATGTTCTCCTTTAACGATTTCATCAATTTCTGATATCCACATTGATGCCTAAACCAATTTATTTTTAATTAAATGAAATACATTAAAATGCGAAGAAGTGAAGATGATCATGTTAACTTCTCTTCCTTGTTTTCCATCAAGGTTGGTACTAGTGGGATGCATAACAAATAATCATCAGTTCTACCAACCTTGTTCTCTATATCAATGGTTGCGCCATCTATCATTATATTCACGAACTCCAAAACAATTGCCTACTCGGTTTATATCTTATATCTATCATTTTTCTTCTCTGCTTAACATGAAATAATATGAGTTCACATGATGAGAGTACTTTTCAGGGGTTTTGGGTACTATTTTTTACAGAATTGCGGTACATTTCTAGAGCGTGGCCCGGCAGCACTGTTCGCTAGTAATTACAACGATTCTGAGATTTTGAGTGCACGACCTCGTTTTGCGTAGCGTGTTCGTCGTGTTCCGTACTTCCGTGTTCTGTGTTTTGCTCTTCTGTGTCATTTATGTCATTATTGTCATTCATTTTGACAATTGACTAATGGCTCGAGGCTTGACTTGACACTAATGACAATTGACAGTTGACATTGACAATGAAAAATGACGAATTGAAAATGAAGGCCAGCTTCAGAAGTGTGCAAAGATCTGACTTCAATTTCTTTTTCAACACTCATTATTATATTATTGGATCTTTGGAAGTGATGATTGTATTGCCAGAAATTAAATGAAAAATTAAACATCGATATGATGAAAAATTGGTTGCTCAGTTCGGTAATTAATCAAATAATGATACAATCAGCTCATTTTCAGTAGAATATTTCCCATACAGAAAAAAAGGATTCCAGTGAGAAAGATCCCATTCTGCCTGGAGAAGATTCGTCGAGAGATTCCTCAACTACTTCTACCACTACTAGTAGTTGTAGTACCATCACTACCAGTAGTTGTTCAATCAATGTGAGCAAGAGGGGAAATCATTTCAATATTGATCACACATTTCTGGATGAAGACCTGGAGGAGAATGAAGAAATTCCATGTGAAAAAAGAAAGAAAATGAGAATGTGGATCTGGATGAAAACAAATAAGAGAAAATTCTACAAAGGAAACAACAAAAAATGCAAGACTTTTTTGATTTCAAAATGAGTGGTGTGAAATGCCTGAATTTAAAAACTGGCTTGTTCAATCGAGGAAGCCCCAGAGACAAAAAAATATTGAATTTGCCTAATGTCGAGTATGCAACTGTGAAATATTCTCCCTCAAGAATGATTCAATAAGACACAACAAATTCCGAAAAACTCATTTCAAATGAAAAAAAGGTAAAAGGTTGTAGTTCCATAGTTGACGAAATGATTCAGCCTGCATGGAGGACTAGCAAATATTCTGGATTGAAATTAGTTGGCTACTCGCCACAAAAAATTTGCCATGTGTTCTCATGGACACACTTTTTCCTTTTTGTACAGATATTTCTCCAGATTCTGATATTGCTAAAGGTATTGCATGCAGAGGAACAAAGGCAACTGCTGTTTTGAAACATGGACTTGGAAAAATCTTCCAGGATGAACTATGTGACAATGTTCGAAGTCCTGGAAGATTCTTTTCATTAGTAATGGATGAAACAACCAAACTTTCAGAAATTAAGCACTGTGCATTCACTATAATTTTTTATGATGTAACGAAAGTCAAAACACGATTCTTAGATATGGTCTCAACTGAGAAAGGTGATGGTGCTAGCTTATACGATTGTTTAAAATCAACTTCAGCAAAGCACAAAATTCCTTCAAGAAATATGGTAGGATTTTCTAGTGACACAACAAATGTTATGGTGGGAGAATATAATTCAATGTTTTCTCATCTGAAAGCAGAACTACCTGATATTCAAATTCAAAATATATTGATGTAATCAAGTATTGATATATGTGATTCAGTCACTATGTGTTCAGGAAATCCATTATCCCTTTTTATTGTGAGATAGGGGTTGAGTTAGAATAGCGTGAGCTAGACTTCGCCTCTCAACATTTTACTTGTATTGTAATATGTACATATCAAAAACAATGAAGGCAATTTATTATTATTATTATTATATTGTGTGTATTAGGTGTTCATGCCATATGATCCATTTAGCTGCATCTGCGGCATGTTTGCAACTGCCTCGATCTGTTGAAGATGTTCTTCGAACATTGGAGCACAGTTCAGTAGGAGCTACAGTAGACAGAAAAAGTTTAAAGAATTCCAAATTTTTCTTAAAACTAACATTCATAAAATTTTGATGCCAAGTATCACTAGATGGTTGTCATTAGAGCATTGGACCATTCAAAAACCACAGAAACAATTGTTCACACTTTAGAGAATGAATATACATTCCTATATCTACAGTTCATGGCATATGTCCTGGAAATATTGATTGACTTCAATGAAATGTTCCAAACACAAGGTCCATTGCTCCACAAATTGAAGCCAGAAACAATGAGATTACTCGAGACACTCTGTTCCAATTTTATTGAGAAAAGAATCATACTAAGAGAACGAAAAAATATGTGGGATATAAATCATACAGATCCTCATCTGTTTGTGCCACTAGCGAAGATATACTTGTAGTAGTAGCAACCTTTGAGGCGATTGAAGCAATGAAATGTGAAAATACTTCTGATGAAACGGAAATGAATGTATTTTTGAAATTTGTTTGAAGTTTTACATTGAAATAGTATCTGAATTCAAGAAAAGATTCCTGTTCTCAGATCCTATATTTGATATAATTTTTATTGTTGATCCACGAGAGTGGGCAAGTTCCGATATCCATTCTTTATCACATATTATCAAAAGATTGAGTTTTTTGGACGATTTTATTGATCTGCAAAAAATGGATAATAAATGGAGAGAATGCTGTTTCATAAATCCAGAAGATATAGGACTACCATCAGCTGATTTTCCTGTGGAACAATACTGGTCAAAAATATTCAATTTATAAAATTTTTCCGACCAGCCACTATATCCAAATCTGGGGATTATTATTAGTTCATTATTAGCGCTGCCATTTTCCCATGAGAATATCAAAACCTGTCACAAACACTCTTCAAAAACTGGAACTGTAGCTGCTCTGATAACGACTAGCGAGGGAATAGCAGACTAAGGGGGTTGTATCAAAATTACCCCAAACAAAAAGATGTTATCTTGTAATGGTGCATTTGGAAAATAGCAGCTCTAGTAAACTTCTATGATCAGTATTAATGTGTTTTACATATCTTATTTTGTATTTTGTTTAGTTAGAGAATGTGATTTGTTTGTGATAATATTGATAGTAGGTAGGTAGGTTATAGACGAGTCTGGTACCTATATCTAGCTATTACCTTAATGAAGTAGCGTCCATTGTTCCGAAGAGTTTTTAATTTGTTGAAATAAATATGTTTGATAAAAATAGCACAGAAAGGATCTTCTTTTCATTATAAAACAACAATTTTCTGTATGGATGTTTTTTTATTCATGAGTTGAGTTTCCACCTCGTTTCCACTCTACGAATACCACTATACCCACGCCACTGCATCCGCCTAATGGAGAAGGTATCTAGTTTGTTTATAGTTCGATATTCGGATACCCTTAGGCTTCTGGCCGCTAGATGTAGTGGCGTAAGGGTATTTTCTAGGTTGGTAGAACTGATAATTTTTCTCTACAAATTATCATTAGTTCTACCAACCTTGGGCATTTTATCTAGTGAATTATCTAGGGTCCCTAAGAATATCATACGTCATACGTGTCAAATGTCAAAATGATGGCCGTAATTTCAGTTTCAATACCTTCAATTTCATGAAATAATTATTTTA